GTGGCAGATGGAAGGTGAGACCCAGGCCTAGCCCACACAAGACGGGGTGGCAGTGCCCACTGTGCCTCAGCACAATGCCCCTGTCACAGGAGCTGAGCACCCAGGAGGCGGGAGCGTTGGGATAAGGCATCAGGATTTGAACCCAGGCCACTGTTACACTGTAGGACAGGGCACAGGCACAGCAGGAGGGGCCTCCCAACAGGGGCCCTGGTCCCTTGTGGCCATCAGCAGGAAGGTGTGGAGAGCTGGAGGGGCGGGTGTGGCCCAGCCCTCACCTTCATTGTCGGTCGGGTATGGAGAAAGGCTGATGTCCACGGGCCGCTCCACTGCACCATAGAAGCTATCTGTGTCTGAACTGGAGTCACTGAAACACGGGGTGGGCAGCAGGGGCAGGTGGTCAGCACCAGGCCTGGGGTCCTTGGCACTCACTCACAGGGACACCTGCACTCAGGGACACTGTGACAGACACAGACTTGCACATGCATGCTGACCGCCTGTGCACAGACAGACGTGGAGAGGCAGGGACAATCCTGTGACCACACGCTCAGGCCACACAGGTGACCCCAGGCAGCACGTGCACAGGCAAGTGTATAGACACACAACCGCAAAGACAGAAGGGGCTGGGGACCGGTGCCGCCCTCCCTGCCTCTGTGGTGCCTGCCACCCTGACTGGCTGGAGAGCTGAGGGCTGGGCCCAGTGTCCAGTGGCCCATGTGTCCACCTGCTCCTGACAACGAAAGCAAGGACAGGTCTAGGACCCCCTGGAGAGTCCCTTGCTACCTGCTGGGCCATCTCACGGGTGAGGGTGCTGAGACCAGGATGGACTGACCCCCTCCCTGGATGACGCATCTGCTCTCCCTCCGAGAGAGCCAAGGTAGGTGTCGGGGGCTGGGACCCCAAGTTCTACACTCTTGAAATGCTGTGACCCCCAAATGGGGAGCTGCCAACAGATGACAGAGTCAGACATGGTGACATAGAGCTGGAGAGGACAGCAGGACAGGGAAAGACAGGCACACACGCACACGCTTATACACAAGGTGCACACTTCCACATCCACGTGGCCCTTCAAGGAGCACACTGTGGCCACGCCACCCAGCCTGGAGACGGACATGCATGTCAAACCCAGGAGCCCCAGGTACTGCCACCCTCCTCCAGGCCCTGTAGCCCACCTGGTGTCCAGGGGCAGCTCCTTCTTCTCATGGAAGTGGCCAATCTCCCTGCGCAGCAAGGCCATCCAACTCTGTGGGTTAGCCAGGGTCAGGGGCCAGGGCCAGGACAGGGCCCCACTCACCCTCTTCCCTCATTTGCCCCAGCTACTCTGCAGTGACCACCAAGGCCAGCGGAGACAGCCCCAGCTGTGTCCAGCCCAGGCTGTGTGACTCAGGTGTGGCCTCCCCTCCTTGGGTTGGCAGCTGCCCCTCAGCCCCCCAGCTCTTCCCAAATGGCACACTCTTAGGGTGGGCCCTGGTGCCAGGCCCTGGGCAGCACCACCCGGCTTCCCCTGCTCAGTACATCTCTCAGGGCCTAGACAAGATGGTGTCAGCCTCCTGCCAAGAGCTGACAGGAGGCCAGGGCCCTGGGACCAGGGAGCCTCCTAAACAGGGAGACCCCATTACCTTGCGCTCGTCCTCAGAGGAGGCAGAGAAGAACCACGTGCGGTGCTTCTTGCTGATGTGGACGATCTTGAAGGGGAAGACATTGTTGGATGTGGTCTCCTCGGCCGCCCGCATCACTCTGAGGACACAGGGGTCACCACCTGCTCTACTCACAGGGGTGGCCTGAGCAGCCTATCCTATGTGGGTCTGGGTCTGGCACCCGGCATTATAACCCAAGGACAGGAGCAGATCTGGACAGTCCCTGCCTGCCCATGCTCCAGGCAGAGGACCTAGATGCTGTGGGCAGATGGCAGAGGTGGGCAAGAGGGGGCAGCTGAGTCTTCAAGGGCTTCCTGGGAGAGCAGCAACGCAGGCTCAGAGATGAGGTCACACCCCACAGCCCACAGTGTCATTGTAATTGGATGCCTCCTCCCATCTTTGCCCCATGTGCCCTGGGCCTGACTGCTGAAGACCCTCATGGGGCTCTGGCCAGCCCCCGCTGCCCACTGCCCAGCAGCAGCCCCCCATGCATTTCTGGGAGTGACTCATGTCGTATCTGCTCTGTGGCCCACTAACCCACACAGGCTGTGGGCTGTGCACGGTGATCCCAAAGTCGACCTGGGAGAAGCTACCAGGGGACCTGGACAGAGCCTCTCAGGCCCAGCTGGCCTGATGGGTGCACTGACTCCCTGGGGCACAGCTGTACCTGACACTGGGACATAGCTGTGAACTGGCTGGCACACGCGTGTCTGAGGGAAGAAAGTGACTGCCTGGGGAAGCTCTGATCACCAGTGCCTGCCTGCTGCCCGGGGCCCTGGGTGGATGGGGGCCTGGTGCTAGACTGGCTGATTGGCAAGGCTGCCCCACCAAGGCTGTGGCAGAATGGGAGCTGGGCCTAGAGAACTACCAAAGCAAGTCCTGCCACTAAGACCTGGTGACCCATGGTTGCTCACAGGATAGAGGGACTGGGCCTTAATGGGGTGGTGAAAGGCAGACCAGTGCTGCTGGACGCCGGGTCAGGTGGCAGAGTCTTGGGCCCAGAACTCAAGCACTGCTCTGTGGGCCCAAGGCTGTGAGGTGGATGCAGGTGGGACTAACAGGCCCACAAGCTCCAGCATACCACAACTTACCAGAGGGCTCTGGCCCAGTGTCCCCCTGCCCATCAGCCTGGAAGCCCTGAAGGGCAGACTCACGGCCACTTGCTGGATAGAGCTAGCCCATGGCACAAGTGAAGCAAGGAACTGGCCACAGCCTGGGAGGACCCTGGAGCCAGGAAGTCTGGACAGGGCCTGTGTTTAGGACACAGGGGATGGTACCCTGGGAAGAGCTGGGAGGGGGAAGGGGCAGGGTAGGGAGGGAAGCAGATGCCACTGGGCAGCAACTGACTGGACTGCAGAGCAGGCTGTCCAGGCCCTTGACACCTGACCCCAAAGCCCCAGGAAGCCTCCGTAAGGAGCTCACTCCTAGGCTCCAGCAAAGGCCTGGGCACACTGGGCAGGGCTGGGCTGCTGGAGGCCATCTGGGGAGAGCCAGGTCCTCCCCAGGGCGGGGAGTGAGAGCTGGCTCCAAGCCCTTGTTGGCCAGGTGGGCTGGGAGGGGACGCTCTGGGCAGGGTGGGCGCTCACCGGTTGTAGCCACTCAGGGAGAAGGCGCCCTGTGGGGAGGCCGACGTGCTGCTCTTGAAGTAGTAGATGCAGCGTCTGTGGATGATCACAAAGCGCAGGGGCCCTGCAGGCAGGGCACGGTCACCAGGGCTGCCAGTGGCCCACGCCAGGCACCCTTTACACCAGGCACCCTGCATGCCAGGCACCTCCACCCCAGGCACCTCCACCCCAGGCACCCTGCATGCCAGGCTGGCCACGCCAGGCACCTCCGGAGGCCTGTGCACCTTGGGCCAGCCTCAGGCTGCTGAGAACTGCTGAGAGGAAGACAGGAAGCCAGGCTGGGCTGCGGCCCCTCCTCAGGGGTCTACAACGGGGCCAAGTGTGGGCAAATGGAGGGGCATGTGGGCCAGCCCCTGGGCAAGCCTGGCCACCCCTCCCTGTGCACCTTGGGCCATTCAGGGGCTATGTGCAGTAACCGCAGAGGGCCAGAGGCTCAGGAGGCCGCAACCACCTTGCTGGGTGCTATGGGGCTGCAGGAGGCTCCTCAGGCCAGCTGGCGGATGAGGAGAGCAGGGGTAAGAGAGTCCCTGGGCTGGACTGTACTCCAGCTGGGCAATGCCCCAAGCTCCACCAACCCAGGCCTGGATGAAGGTCAGTTACAGTTTCTCTCTGAAAGATCCCTATGCAAAGAGGGTACCAGTTAGACTGGTACCCAGAAATGACTGTCCCGTGGGGCACACCTCAGCTAGGCAGCCCAGGAGCAGGGAGTCCTTGGCAGAGGGCACTGCTGGGGCACAGTAACGGAGTACCCATGGTGAATCAGAGAGAAAGGCAAGGCCCGGGTTCTCTCTGCCTTCAGGTCTGGACATCTGTGGATCTCGCAGCCCACTGTCCCCAGGGGCCAACACCCGAGCGTCAGGCAGCTTCAGAGTCCCAGTACTCGGCTGGCTTCTGACCTAGCACATGGACCCATCACGTGAGGGCCAACAGATTCCCTGAACATTCACGGAGAGGACAAGGGCAGCACCCAGGGGCCAGACCTCCAGGCCACTCTGAGGCTACCCGACTCTGGATGCAGGCAGAAGCTCCCGTGGCCAGCTGGTCAGCACTGTGCACTGTCCTCTTTGACCAGCTGCAGGCACCACCCTGAACCCTGTCAAGTTCTGGGACTGGAGAGGCTGCCTTCAGGTCCCCCAGGGGAGCTGACCATTACAGAAGGAAGAGACACCCCCGAGGACCCAGGACATAAGGTAGCATAAGTCCCAGCAGAGCAGTGGAGAAACAGGAACAGGGCCCAGTTCTGCCACAAGTTCTCCCTTGTGGTGCCCACTGCCCAGGGACTCACATTTGAGCAGCTGCAGCTGGGTGCCGCCCTTCTTGTGCAGGTAGCCAGCCTTAGCCACACCCCCGGGCATAGTCAGCAGGTTCTGGGCACCGATGGCCTTCATGGGGACAGGCCAATGCATCTCCTCAGCCGCCATGAAGCTGGAATTACAGAGGAAGAGACACAGCTCAGCCAGGGGTAGGGACAGTGAATGTCTTAGCTGGGCCACTCACGGGGACACTGCCACACTCCAGGGGGCAGCATGGAAGGTCAAGGCAGTGGGGGTGAGGAAACGCCTTTCCTGAAGGCCCCAGCCTTCCAGTACTGACCCTAGGGAAAAGGTTGGGTGGTCCACCTGGTCAGCTCCACCTGGTCCCTGGCCACAATCCCAGGATGCTGAGAACTATGTCCTTTGTCACTCGTTCACTGGGCATATATCAGGTGAGTGCACCACCCTGTGAGGGCTAGCATACGGTGATGAGTGGCCTGAGGGAACCCAGCCCAGGTAAGGCAGGCTTTATGCCATAATGACCCCAAGTCCCAATGCCAGGTGAGCCATAAAGGGGCCTGCCTAGACAGGAAGTCAGGAGTGGCCTCCTGGAGGAGGTGGCACTGAGGTCACAACCTGAAAGTAGAAATTAAAGAGGTACAGGGGCTGGGGTACACCCTGCATACCCTGTCCACCAGCTCTGACCCTCAGTGGGGAAGAGGTAAGGAGCATGGCCCCTGGATGTCCATCCTCAGCAGCTTCTGTCCATCCCTTTCTTGAAGCCCTGAGACCAAGCATCAGTGAAACAGACAGCCAAGAGCCCCCAGTTCCAACAGCCTGGTCTTGTGTCCTGGTTGGCTTTCTGGGGGATTCCCAGGCCTCAGCTGCTGGAGTTTTTCCATGAGGGGAAAAGTGGACTAAATTGTCCCAAAGCACACCCTTGCCACAGTGGCTGAGAACCATGTGGTTAGTTCACTGGCACCCACCTCCTCAGCCTGGGGGGGGTCACTCACCCTCCCTGTCTGAGTCTCAGGGACTACGCTGCACACTGTCACTCTAGAGGCCCTGCCCGCTACTCCAGCCCCAGACTCTCTGGATCCAGCTGGGCTGCTGAATATTTCTGCCTGCAGTGACCTCCCCACTACCCACATGGAGAAATCCCACTGGCTGTCCTTCAGGAACAACAGCAAGGGCTCCTCTCCTGTGAGGCACCCCAAGTGCTCAGTCATGTCTGAAGTCCCCCAATCCTGCTCTGTTTAGTCTGTGCCTACCCTGGGCAGGTCTAGCTTGGGACCCTGGTGCAACTGGATAGTGGCCAGTATCCTAAGAGCCCAAGGTGGAGCAGCCAGGGTCAGACCCAGAGGCCAAGATCAGCTGGGACTCCTGCCACTACAGCTCCAACCCGAAACACACACATAAGAAAACGACCGTCCACTCCATCAAAAATGCAAAGGAAGTCACCACCCCAAGGACACAGAATGCCCCCATAGCCGCTGCTGCTGTCTCCCACGGCTTCACCTGCACAGAGTGCCCACCCCCCCAGGGAGAAAGTGGGAGCCTGGAGGTCGGGGCCACCCAGCTGTCCCCTATGGCTCCCAACCCCTCCACACAGGGAGGCGGGAGTGAGGACTGGGCAGCTGGGACCCCAACTTGGGTTGAGGCTGGGAACAAAGGCGCGGCCACACCCCCGCTCTGCCCGGCCCCGCGGGGCAGTCAGAGCCCAGCAGCGGGAAGGGAGATGGGCTCCGGGTGCTCTCGCCCATCCAGGGGGAGGTGTCGGCGCACGGAGGGCCCCACACCCAGCCGCAGCCCCCGGCCCACCCAGCGGCCGGCCCACGCCCGCCTTTGTTCCAGGGGACCGCGCAGTGCCTGGGGCTCCCGGAACCCGGAGTCCCGGGTCGTGCTCCAGAGGTTTGGGGCCCGGGCTTGGGGACTTGGGGTCCCGAGGCTCGAAGCCAAGAGTCCGGGGCCGCGGACGTGGGGTCCGGGCTCAGTACTCACGGCGTCCACGCGGCGGGCACCGCCGGCTTCCGGGGGGCGGCCAGCCCTCGTCTCCCCTGCGCGCAGCGACACGGCCCCGGGCCGGGGACCCCGGCAGCCGCCTCGTCCCGGGCGCCCGCCTCCCGCCGGCCCCAGCTCCGCGGCCGGGACCCTGCGCCCGCCATGCCCGCCGCGCCCCAGGCCCAGGCGGCCGCCGGCTCCTCCCCTCGCAGACGGGGGCGGGTCTGCGGGCAGGTGAGGGACCCGCCCGCCCCTCACGTCACCTTAGGCGGGCCGCCCACTCCCGGCCTCAGTTTCCCCACCTGCGGCACTGCAGTTAGTGGAAGCCAATTATAAGAGTAACCCGGAATCAGAAGCCCCCAAACCTGCAACTCCTAGCCCCCGCCTACGTCTCCATCCCGCCTGGTTCCTTGATGGCAAGCACCTTGGGACAGTGGCCCTACTTCCCCAAAGGCAGTATGTCCCCCAGGGCAGACTTGCTTTGCCAGTGTCTCCCAGGGATCCCCAGGAGTCGGGGGTCTGCTCACTGGCAGCTCCCACTTGCTTATGCCTTGTCATGCGGGTCACCTCTCCCCGAAGAGTTCCTCTGACTGGCCAAAGACTGTGAAGGCCCTCAGTGGCCACTAGGCTGCCTGCCTCCTCCATCTCCTAGCACTTACAGGCTGCTGCTAGGATGGGCCACCTGTGCAGAATGCAGCACAAGGCCCTACCCTGGCCCTTTGGTGGCTAACAACTTGGGCCCCATTCCCACCCAGCTTTGCATGTTGGGCAGCCCTCACTGGTTCCAAGGCCTCCACCTCAGGCCAGCTCAAAGGTACTCTTCCCAGCACCTTGGAGTTGCAGCTTCCATCCTGGCTCTGGCCACCTCTAAGCCTGTTCCCAGCGCTTTTGCCTTTATCTCCCCTTGAATCCTACAAAACCCTCTAGGCTGCCCATCAGCATCTCCACCGCTCTCGGAAGTCCCCAGCACCTCCTCTTCTCAAGTCTCTCCAGTGCCTACCTTATGTCCTCCAACATGACCCTTCCAGTCGCTTCTCTAAGTCTTGGGCTTCCTTATGCACACCTAGCCATTCCCGATTTGGCCCCTCTGGGCCTTTCTCACAAACTCTCCTCCTGCCCTCTGCCCTGTGTGCACCTGTGCCAGCCAGACACACAGTACCCCTAAACCCACCCACAACCACCTCTAGGCTTGTCCCTGCTGTTGCCACTGCCTGTACTTGCAACTGAACTATCTCAGCCCTCAAGAGGTGGCTCAAAGACCACCAATCCCTCACAGACTCTTCCAAAAAAGAAGAGGGAACTCACGCCCTCTTCGCCCCTTACAAAGACACCACAAGTGAAGACTACAACCAATCTCTTACAGGCATGAACATAAACATCCCCCACAAAACACTAGCAGACGGAATCCAGGAACATATAGAAAGGATTCGACAACACGGTCAAGTGGGACTTATTCCAGCAATGCAAGGTTGGTTTACTATTCAAATCCAATCAATGTGATACACCACATCGACAAAAAACAGACCCACCTATAGAAAAAACCTTAGACAGAATCCAACAATCCTTCAAAATAAGGACAACACTCAACAAACCAGGGATAGAAGGAAACTTTCTCAACATGATAAAGAGTATCTTTGAAAAGTTCCTGCTCACATCATTTCTAGTGGTGAAAGACTGAACACTCTTCCCCAAGGACAGGAGCAAGGCAAGGATGTCCGTCCTTCCATGTCTGCTCAGTGTCCTGCTGGAGGTCACGGACAAAGTAATCAGGCAATAGAAGAAATATAAAGTATCCAGATTGGAAGAAAGAAGTGAAACCATTCCCAGATGAGATTATTTTATATATACAAAATTTCAAGAATTCCACACACACAAAAAAACATTAGGACAAACAAGTTCAGCAAAGGTAGCAGGATCCCAGTCAACACAGAAGTCCACTGCGTTTCTACATCCGTTCCAACAGCGAGCAATCCACAGTGGGGGAAAGACGAGTTAATTCAGGCATCCCCTCTTCCAGGAGGTCTCCTAGGTCCTCTAGAAGGTCCTGTCCCCACCCTGGGGCTAGCCCAGCCTTCCCTCCACCTAATGCTGGCTGTACTAGGTTGTCACAGTCCTCTGTCCTTAGAGCCCAGGCCCAGCAGAGTGGGCACCCAAGGTGCCCCCAAGGAAGGAAGCAGTGTTGGCCCTGGTGGGTGGCTAGAGGGACAGAGGCTGACACAGAGCCCCACCCTGGCATATCACACCAGCCCTGAGCTGAAAGGACATTTGGCAGGTGTGTCAGAGCTACTGTGGGACAGAGCCACCTCCTCCTGGGGCTGGGGGAGGTTGGGGGAGCAGTTGGGCAGGTGATGCCCCCCTTGTCTGAGCTCAGTGGCCAGGAGGGGCAGGCAGGAGAAGGGCTCATCTCCAGCTGGTGCCTTCCCCCTGCAGCAGGATGGAAGCACTCAGGAGGCATTTACTGACCCTGGGAAGAGGGCAGGTCATGCTCCACCTTTACCTCCCCTGGGAATGTCCTGATGCTGACATCATAGTCCCTCTCCAGAGGGGCCCCAACCTGCCCCAGCAGGTAAGCCTGGACAGTACCTGCCCAGGAACCCAGTGCTGGGCCAGGCTGGAAGCAGAAACGGGTAGTGGTGCCCGAGGGTCTGGACAATGGTGGGCCACGGTGCCACACAGCTCCCACATTTCCTAGCCTCGCTCATAGACAGTCCTACCTGTGCCTGGGGACACTGAGGGTAGCTGACCTCCAGGCAGTCTCCCTCGTGACCTGAAGGTTAAATGCCACTCACTCACCCAGGGGCTCCCACAGGCCTTCCTGCCGACTTGCTAGGTAGTTTCATCCCTCCTCAGATGCCCACCCGCAGGGATGCACCTGGGCTGGTGGGAGCACTGGCTGGAGCACCGTGGGTGGGAGTCGCGAGGGAGAGAGCCTGCCTTCAGATCTCTCTGGGTCTCATCCTCCACAGAGCCGCCATCTCCTGCTGTTATAAAAGGGCATGGGAGGGCAGGGGCTGGGCTCAGGGGTAGAGCACTTGCCTAGCATGTGTGGGGTGCTGGCTTCGAACCTCAGCACCACTTATAAATATATAAACAAATAAAATAAAGGCATCCTGTCCATCTACAACTACAAAAATAAAATTAAAAAAAAAAAAAGGGCATGGAAGAGTTCACTCCTCCAAGGCCCAACACCCTAAGGAGGGGCTGAGGACTCTGGAGACAGGTCAGCCTGGAGTGGCTGGAGCTGGTGGTGGCTGCTAGGTTCCTTCTACAAGGTGCGGGATCCTCGCGTGTGCAGGTGTGGAAGTGCTTTGAGCCCGTGTGGCCCTGTGAGGTGCACCTTCCCTCAGTGATATTGGCTCAAGGACCCTGAAGCTGCTGGAGTGGGGACGGGCTGCGCAGGCTGGTGAGACAGCCCCAGCCCGTTCCACCCACGCAGCTCTGCGGCTCCCACCTCTGGGGCCCTGAGCCCCAAGGGTGCATGCTCCTCACCTGCAGGGGCCCACACGCAAGGTGCAGCTCCGCAAGCCCAGTTAATGTCACAGGTGCACTCACAGAAGACATGAGAGTGAGTGGGAGACTACACGCGTGCACACCAGTGTGTGTGCGTGTGACATATGTGTGCACATTGTGAGCCTGTGCACGAGAGTGATGTGGCAGCCCTGAGGCACCAGGCTCCTGCAGACATGGCCTGTTATGGTGAATGAGCGGCGCCCTGGGTGACCACGGTGTCAGGGACTCACTGCTCACAGAGACTAGGCTGGCCCTGCTGTGAAGCCGCAGAGCGAGGAAGGGCCAGCGTCCCAGCCTGAGGGAGCAGAGACAAGGTCCCCCAGTGCACAGCACACACACACACTCATGCACGCATGTACACACACATCCAGTCCTGTCCACATACTCATGCACATTCACACTCCACATATACACTTTCACACTTACAAACACTAATGCACACTTACACTCACACTCGCACTCATTCACACACTCACACACGTGCTCGCACTCATGTGAGCACCATCCACACAACACACCAGGGGCCAAAAAGACCCTTTATAAGTTGTCCCCAGAGCGCTCGGGCACAGGCCAGAATAACCACTCCAGCCCCGCCCAGCCTGGTGCCAGGTCCCACCTGTGGGTTCAGGAACCTCACAATTCTGTGTGTGACCCACGCATTCTTGCACATTTACTCCCCAAGCACACGGGCTGGGAGAGGCTCAGGACTTGTGCAAGAGCACTGCTCACCCCGCCACTCCAGAGCTTAACCCACAGTCATCCCATGTCACTGATGAAGACACCGAGGGTCCAAGAAGCGGAGCACTTCCCCAGAACACACATGCACTAGTGGCAGAACACCCACGACCCTCCACCCTGCCCGCGTGGCACAGCAGGTGTTGGGGTGATGGCCGGGTGAGCAGAGCTGGTGGGTTCCTCGAGCACAGTCCCCTAGCCACCCTGCCTCTCACCACTTTGTACTCGGCTTTTAGTTTCCTTTCCCCTCCTTCCTCTTCCCAGAATCTTTCTCTGTAAAAGAATCAAAACCAAAATGCTCCTAGAAAGGCCCAGTGACCAGCCATGCCAGAGAGCCCACAGCTGGCCAAGGGGCAAAGAACAGACCCCCTCCCCAGCGGGTCCCTGGAGCCCGAGGTCCCCTGAGCACAGCGTCCCACGCGGGCAGTGGGGACCCACACTGCCCTGCCTGTCCCCCTGCACACGTACTGTGTACACACACACACACAGGAACTCACAACTGCGCACACAGGACCCCAACACCAAGGCCGCCAGGCAAGGCTGGAGTGGGAGGGGCGCAGCTCCCGGGGCTGCAGGCTGAGAGGCAGGATGCAGGGCAGGGGCGCTCCGGGTTCCTGCATGGGGTCCCCCTTCTGGCTCCCTGTGGGCCCATCTGGGACCACTCTTCTCAGCGCCTGACCCTTCTCACAGGCCAGCCCTGGGGGGAACTTGGCTCCCATGACCCCGCCCAGCCCTGCGGTTCTGCAGATGCCCTCAGTGCCTTCTCTGGAGCCCCTGGTCCCAGCCACCCGACTGACCTGATGGCACTGACCCAGCACATGGCTCTCCTGCTGCCCGGTAACCTGCTGGAGGTTGGTGTCCTGGGGCCCAGGGAAGCCATGCAGCTCAGGGGCTGTGGGGAGAGGCCGCACCCTGCATCTCCCAGGCATGGGCGGCCGAGGCCCCTGGCTGCCCAGCTTGTTGTGCCACAGCTCAGCTCTGCGCCTCTG